GATAAAATGCGGTTTTCGATCTTGATGCATAACCGCGAGACAGAAGTGTGAAACCTATGATGAATTAAAAAGCTGCAAATGATTATTAGATTTTCTGCCGTGGTTTTAAGTTGTCGTGCATATTTTGAGAAGTAATTTGAATGAAAGCATAATGAGGTGAAATATCTCCGCAATTCTGTAATTCTGGATGTTGGGGTCTATTAATCGGGTTGCGTCTTCCTCCTTGGTAACATGGAGTTGGAGTTAAATCGTAGTCTATTTTGGTTTTATTGATTAGATTTTGTTATACACATATACTACTCTTGAATACTCGTATCTCATTTTTTATACCACATATCTTATTTCATTTGAAATAACTGGTATCGATTTTGTTCATAGAGAGCACCGTTCTTCTAGATCTGCACTCTTTGATGACCTTGAGGAGGGTGGTCTCAGAGCTAGCGCTTCTGCGGTTGAAATTAAAGAGCATGACAATGATAGAGCGCTCCTCACTTTGGAAGATAGAGTTTCTATTCTCAAGAGGGTTAGTTTTAAGCAGGGAAATTCTCCTTAATTATTTATCTATCTATGTCTGATCTCCCTTTATTATAATCTCCTGGCCGTTTTACTTAGCAAGCTGTTTTTATTTTTATTTTTTAATTATAAACAATCATTTTGGCATTGGGATCTTGTAGCTGTTTCCTCGTTGCTGCATGCGCATAATCTATTGCTTCAGATCCTTTTGCAATTCATCGATTCATCCTTTTGCCTCAGATTCTTTAACCATTAGACAAAAATGATTAGGAAAATGGATATGAAGTGTATTTTTTTGAGAATTTCTTCAGCTGTATTTGTGCATCTAAGCATCCATATTTAGTACTATAATGAGCTCATTTCAAATATGATTCTTGCCTGAGAGTGCCTTTGATGCAATAGACTGCTGTGCTTAGAGAGCTCTGGGATAAGGGAACTAGTTGATATTGACTTTTGAGTGGGTTTAGTTAGTTTATGTTCAGGTTGGACATAGTGGTAGAACTCTTGGATTTAATAAATAATGATGAGCGAACTCTTAGATTATGGGTCCAAATTTCCTTCTAATGACTAATGATATAGTAATTTTCAGTTTCTCACTGCTTACGATGGTGAATTTCTAGGAATAGAAATACTTTTGAGGATTGCTGAAGTATGAGATTTGGATTTTCGAGTGTGGAAAAAAAACTTTCATATATGATTTCATCACATAGTACTTAAAGTAACACTTCACTTCATGTGGATCAGCTTAAATGATCACTATATACCTCCATCATCCCTTGGTATATATAACAAGAATTAGGGATCTTTTTGTACTTCGACTTACTCTTAATATGCATATTATTTGAAATAGTTGACAGGTGACATTCACGAAGAAGTGGAGAGTCATAATAATTTACTTGACCGAATGGTATGTTGTTTCTTCAAGGTTATTTGTTTGTGTTTTGTCAGTGGAAAATGATAGGAGCATCTTCATATGGATTTTATTCTAATCCAGGGAAATGGCATGGATTCTTCAAGGGGTATAATGTCAAGAACCATGGATCGATTCAAGATGGTACATGATCTAAGCCTTTTTGAGTTCGTCATGTTTAGGGAATGTTTTTGTTCGTTACATACCCTTTATAGGGAGAAAGAAAATGAAGAGAAATTGAGAGAGAGCTTTTGCAAGTTCAGCACTTACATTGTTGGACTGAACTTACAAAAAATCTATTTTGCTCCCAATATGTTTCTTCTTACTTAATAAATGCAAACAACCATATATGTTCCAAAAAGTAAAATGATACAGAAAATCCAGTCCTAGAAATATGATAGAACATTCCTTGATCTTGTAAACGTCTACTACTTCCATGCATCCTCCTAATTTTTCCAATTCTCAATGTACATGTTCTGTAGGTTTTTGAGCAAAAATCGAAGTGGAGAACTTGTAGACTTGCAGTTTATTTTGTATTGTCCTTCTTACTTCTTTTCTATCTCATCAGGTAAGGGTTCAGCTCAACATTTCACTTTGATCATCTACTTTTTCCAACGTAATCCATGTTGTTTGATGAGCCTGAATTACATATTTACACCATTTTGTCGAGTTCTTTCAAATTTCATTGCATTTTTCATTTACATTGTTATATAACAGCTCGCAACCATGTTTTATTAAGTGAACTCTGGTAAAGCTTGGTTTTATGTTCAGTTTTCCTTTTATACAGTAGTGAATGCAATTTTGATATCCTTCTCTCTCTTGCATTACAATTTTGGTTTTTAGATTGATTTCCCCATTTTTGTCTTTGATTTCAGGTTCCTCAGATTCTTCATGCAAAGTTAAAAGTAAGATTTGTACGTCGAGTCAACTCAACGTGACGTATTAGATGCATCGCATGATTTGTTCCCACCTCGCATAGTCCTTGTCTTTGCAAGAACATTGGAACACAGGCCACACGATTCTGCAACACAAGACTTGCCAAAAATACATATTTTTAATGGACTGGTACAGGTCAATAAATGGCCCCCTCTCTTCTTTTTCTTTTTATTGTTTGCTTATTATTATTGTTACTATTTTTTGACGAGCTAAAAGCATATCCATGGGTTTAGAATATATACTGCATTCAACCAGTAATAGGTACATAAAAAGAGTGTTCTTTTTGCTCATGCTTTTGAATGAAAGAAGGTTTTTATTTTCAGGATAGTGTAAGACAAGACACTTCCCATCTTACTAGACTACTTTAATAGGTTTGTAGGTGGATTTGGTTTGGTGATTAGGATTAGTAGGTCAAATGATGATTGTTATTTTGAATTCTTTTTTTGATGCAATTAGTGGTAAGCTATTTAACATTATCTAAACTTATAATGTGTTTTAAACATTAAATTGGGATTTGTTGTTGCTTTTTGTTTTTGGAGGTATATAAGAAACAAGAGTAGAAGGATGTAGATTCATTAGCTTTCGAAGTATTAGAAGTCTCTTGCCTCATCTTAGTGCCTACATACAACATGTATGCATGTTTAACTTACATGTCTAACTTGATTAGAGGGATTAATTACTGACTTCTTTAATATTAAATTTTTTCTGAAGTGTTTTTTTTCTTTAAATAATTACATGAACGTATAAGGCTGGTAATGGATTATTTATTGAATGAGTCATGGGCTCCTTTTTGCATTATGCCACTTTGAAAAGATTATCTTATTTATAATTCCTTCTGATATTGATTTTTTAGGCTTTTATTTTAATGTGTAACTCGAATGCATGTTTGGATTACGTTTGAATGGGTTGTATTTAAATACGTCAACTTTATGTTTAACATTCTGACGAACTTTCTACCGTAGTTTTGAAATGTTTATAAAAAAAGTTTAAATTGTATCTTTTCATTAGTCGAAAAACATGTACAATTGGACAAAGTAATATTTCAACTAATGAAGCTTTTAATTCCCCGTTTGTAAATTTAGTTGAAAAGAAAATTAGAATTTAGTTTTTAATTTTTGATTTTACAATTAAATTCTAATATTTTTAACCTATAGCTAATAACGTTATATTCCCCTTCCCATTCTCAAGTTAATTGCTTTTTTCGCTTATGATCTGAAAAAATAATTACCCATAAAATATAAACATTTCCCATTTTTCAAAACCGAACCTTTCTCGCATTTACCTTCATTTTGCGCTACTCTGGCTAATCCGTGGTGGGACAGTCGGGTGGGCTTCCCGGCCACCGATCCAGCAGAAACCGTCGTCAACGGCGGAGGAAGAGATCATGAAGACGAAGAAGACGAGCAGAAAGAAGGCATGGTGGTGGTTGGCAACCGCCGATCAAGAGGGCGGCCACTGGGATCCAAAAATAAACAGAAATCCCCAATTATCGTCACGCGCGACAGTCCTTACGTTCTTAGCATGCACGTGATCGAGATCGCCGGAGGAGCCGACGTCGCCGACAGCGTGGGGTTTGTGTTGTCAGCGGCAGGGGCATGGTGGACGACGTCACTGGCAATCCGCTGCTGTGATTCCACTTCATGGCCGGTTCGATATGCTGTCTTTGACCGGTTCTTTTCTTCCCGGTCGAGTCCCTCCCGGTTCGAGCGGGCTGACCGTATACCTCGCTGGCGGGCAGGGGCAGGCGGTCGGAGGGACAGTCGTGGGCCCGCTGTTGGCGGCTGGGCCTGTAGTGTTGGTTGCTGCTTCTTTTGCTAATGTAACATACGAGAGATTGCCTTTAGAAAACGATCATAAAGAAGATGAGGTTAATCCGGCCACCGCAGGTAGCGGAGAAGTGGAGGCGCCGCCGTCGCTGCCGTATCCTCCGACGGTAGCTTCAATTCATGAGATGATGGTACCAAATAATCATGGGGAGCACCTTGGAATTGCTGGGCATCTTTGGGCACATGGAGACCATCATTGATCTGATTCGAATTTCTTCATTCTATTCATATACATTTTTAAAAAATTCATACGATATCACTCATTTGGATGAGGTGTATTTTAGTAATAAATCTGTCTGTTCTCTATTATAAATATCTTTTCATCCTAATAAGTTTTCATCTAAAGGAATCTCAAGCGCACGTACTAACTTATAATCTATTCTTGATTGATCTTAGTAAATAGTGTGAGTTTTCTATAAACTTGTTGTGTTCAACAACATACACCAAAAGCAATAGGGTTATCTCAAAAACAAAATTGATATATAAATTAAGGTCGGGATAACTTTTCTCGAAATTTTTTTATAGAGAACTTTTGGTCAGAATAACTTTTCTCGACTCTTGCTTGTAACTTTTTCCGATGCTTTTGAGTATAGGTAAAATCCATTCTTGTTAAAAAGTAATATCTATCAGAGAATTGAACATAACATAAATCATCAAATCAAAACAATTTCATAAACAAAAGCATGAAATAATTAGGGATTTTTTTTCAAATGATAATTTTATTTACGGACTTGTTACACCAACTTCACATTGAATAACCAAATTATTAGATTGTCTATTCCTAAAACAAACTACGAAATACAATGAACAGCTAAGGAATTGAAAGATAATCTATATGTCATAATCTTTTGCTCAACTAAAACATGATCAATCCAATGTTATGGGAGCTTCAATACCCTAATTGCTCAAGAAATAACAAGAACAAAATAGATATAAAAGCCTTGTATTCATAAAGAGTAAAGAAAATGATTACCCTAAGAGCATAATTAGTGTACTAAACGAAGTGAAATATAGAGATCTAGGGATAATGGCCAAGTCGAAGCTCCAAATCCAAACCCTCGCCACTCCAAACCCCTCTCCTCCCCTTACTTGGTTCAATTCTTAGGCTCAAATCATTCCCCCAATAGTTCATATTCAAGTCGCCAAGTTCTTGGAAGTACCCATCTGGGTTCGAACCTGATGGTGCATAACTCACCTTAGACCCAACTAAAAGTGGCTCAAAATTAGGCGTATTCACGAACGTGGATGGCTCAATTTGCTTGCTTGGAACACAAAAAGACGCGATTTGCTTAGCTTTATTGGCTCGATCTTTTCTATGGATATTCATATGCCCTCCAAGAGCTTGAGCGTTGGTGAACCCACGCTTGCAAAATATGCACCCATATGAACGTTTAACCCCGAACGAATCTGAATCGTCTTCGTTTACTCGATCGGATTGTTCTCCGCTCGAACTCTCCGAACTACTGCCCAATTTTTCTGAATCCATAACGAAAAATATGAGATTTTTGGAAGAATAGGAAGGGGAAAACAAGTTTTGGAAGAGATATTATATAAACATGATTGAGAAGACTATTTTGGATGTTTGTTCTTAGAATTTTTATGGCTGCCGGCTTTGTTTGATCTATTTGTTAATGACATGTGTGCTGTGATGTGAATTCAACTGCTCTAGTTGCTTTCGGCTTTGTCATTTGGATGTGTTTATGAATCTTCCTTCACTAACACAAATATTAATTGATTCTAATCCACAATTAAAAAAGGGTTTTTTTGTAAAGAATTATAATTTTTAAATGTTAATGTCAATGTAGTTGTTAACGATATATACCTTTTTGTTCTTGTTTTTTTTAGGGTTTATATCTTAATAATTTGATAATGTCAAAGTCTTTCTTAAATAAGGAGATGATCCCATTCTATATGTCCATGCAAAACCCTCCAACAACAAATGGACATTTCTATTGTTATAGTTCATTGTGACAAATGGAAACATTCTCCTTCATTTGTTCTTTTTTTATATTATTGTTTTAGCGTAAAATTTGAACTTGGTCTTTCGTTTTTCAAAATTTGATCTTTTGGTTGTATACAACGACCCTATACCCAGGATTTAGAATCCAAGTTCGACACCTGATGGCCCGGTATTTCTTTACATCCTCTGTGACATGATCACGTTTACCTACTCCTTGTTTCTTAAGAGTGAAAACTATCCTCACAGATCAACACGAGTCCTTCCAACATGTTTTTTCACTCACATGCATCTAAGGAGAATTCCTAAGAGGTCACCAACCATAGAATTGCTCCTAATAAAACAGGTTTAACTATGGATCACCTATGATTGAATCATAAAAAAGAAAGATGCACCTTGTTGGTATAAGTAGTGACTTAAGTCTTTCTTAGTCATCTTATCCTCAATATTTCTCTAATTTAGATGGTTCATTCATGTACCCCTCTTTTACTCGGGTGTCACAATATATTTTAATAACTCAATGACCCGTTCTCACGCTAAATCTTCAAAAACTTTGTACCAAAATTTGCTTTCACATTCTCCTGTCTTCAATCGAAACGGCTCGTAAAACTCAAATACCTTAAACCGTCATTACATCTATATGTATTATAGTAAAGTCGAACACAATTCATATAACATCTCACATGATGAACAATCCAAATATAGATTAGATTCTACAAAATCTTGGATAGAACACACGAGCCAGTAGTATTCCATAGCTAAATTTATGAAGTAAAAGCCAAAAGTGAAAGAGGAAAGAGGGGAAGGGGTTTTGAGGTGGTTTTGCAAAGGTGCAGTGTTTATGAGAGAAAAAAGAGATGGTGTCATTGCAGTGAGATGCTTCAAATTTGAGGGGGAAAAGAAAGGCATAAATCCCAAGAGGGAAAAGGAATCATGTCTACTTCCAACCAAACATCGTTGGAAATATGCAAAGACATCAAATTTTGGTTAAGGAAACACAGCCTATGACGCTGTCTCCTTGTCATATTCAAATCCCCAATGCCCTGTCTCACTCATATGCATTACAATTAATAGAAATGGTAATGAAGGGTGGCGTCAAATGGGAACCCTATTACTTTTATTTTCATTCCGCCCTAATTTAATACTTGTTTGATTTTTGGTTTACCTTCTTAAGCCTCTATGCTCAGTATGCTCGGGATTCAGTGTAATAAGGTGCATCTTATTTTTCAGAGACTTTAAAGTTAAACGTGTTTAGCTCAGAATAATTTATGTTGGTTAACCTCTTAAAAACATGTGAGTGAAGATAAAACATCTTAAAAAAATTTGTGTTGGTCTCTAGGGATAATTCAAAAAGTAGATAATATGGTCATCTAGCACGAGATGTAGGAGAATATCTGGGTCTTCACTCTAAAAAGTAGTTCAAAATAAGTAGACAACATGGTCTTGTTGCACGGGATGTAGGAGAATATTGGGGTCTTCACTCTAAGACATAATTCAAAACAAGTAGACAATATGGTCATGTCTGAGAGGACACATAAGAATGTGGTCATGTGGTAGGAGATGCACGAGAATGTCGGAGTCATCATGTGTCAAATCTAAATTACAAATCTTGGTCTAAATCATGGACATGAACAGTTTGTTTTGTCATCAATTTACTTTAGTCGTACATGATGAATGCAACCTTGGTACCAATAATAGATTAAGAAATTAAACAAAACTATAACATTACAACAAAATTAAACAAATACGTAATGAACTCCATTTCTAGTTGAGACCAAAAGTAACCTAAAACCCTAATCTAAGTTCCAAATCAATCTCATTGGAACTACCAAGAAAATCAATCTCCTTCACAAACTTCTTAACATTCTTCCAAATCTTACACTCTCCATCAGCTTCTTCTTCACCACTAAGGCTTGAGAAATCATAGAGTTTAAGAAACTTAATGGGTTGAGACGAGGATCCATGAAAATGAGGTGAATCCAATGGAGGAGATCTTCGGAGCTTGGCTCGGTCTCTTCGATGAACATTCATGTGCCCACCAAGAGCTTGCGCAGATCGAAATTTCCTTTTGCAAAACCCACATGAATAAGCTCTTGATGAACCCCATGCAAATCCAACAATGTCTTCTTCTTCTTCTTCTTCTTCTTCTTGATGATCTCCTCTTGTGTTGTTGGGTTTGTTTGGCATTCTAAGCTGTTCTTGTGGGCTGTTCATCTTCAAACTTTTGCTCTCCATTTCTTGAGAGAGAGATGGAAAAATTATTGTGTTCTTACCCACAAAATGAGTTGCTGTTTGGAATTTAGGGTTTGGATATATATAGAAACAAAAAGGTGTGGGAAGTGTCCATGTGTTAGGTGTTGTTCTTCATAAAACCTACATCATCATACCTAGGGTTTCACTTTCATGTCCAAATCTAGTATAGATTCAGATAGTACCTATTTTGGCCCGTTACATATCGTCATCAACCTCAGGGAGAGATTTTCATACCTTTATAAGGAATGTTTCGTTATCTAACAATCCACCCCCAGTGGAGGCCCGACGTCCTTGTTGGCACACTATTCGATACCTGGCTCTGATACCATTTGTAATAGCACAAGCCCACCATTAGTAGATATTGTCTGTTTTGACTCGTTACGTAGTATTGTCAACCTCACAACTTTAAAACGCATGTGCTAGAGAGAGGTTTTCACATCTTTATGAGAAATGTTTCGTTCTATTCTCCAATCGATATGAGATCTCACATTAATCAAATTTTGCAACTTTTAGAAGTGGTTTAACATACTTGAATGAACTCAAATTGACAAATTAAGAGGTGCATTGTGGATAAAAAATATAGTATCTTAAACAAGGTAAGATGATAGAGTTTGTTTAATAATGAAAACAAAAGAGAAGATGAGAATGAGAAATAAATATAAGAAATTGGTATGAGTGAGAAGGGAAAAAGTATGGTGAAGAAGGAAAAAATCCAGCAGAGAAGCAAAACAAACAAAAGATTATTGCCTTTATTAACTGAGATTTGAAGTATAAAAACTGGTGCCTAATTTAGTGACCCCATGCAATACTACATATGGGTATCATTTTTTTAAGGTTGTGATACCCAAATTGCAGTCTTTACCCTCACTGCCAACGCCCTCTGCTGTCTCTTTCACTCCTCTCCTCCATCTCTAACATTATTCAATCAAACCATTCCACTAATCCTTATCAGCTTTAAGATAGAACGAGAGACATGGATCTTTGCTTCGTTCTAGAGTTCAAGACTGATTTTTTATGGTCTTTTTACTTAAACGAGCGAGGTTTTTTTTAGAGTCGACGTTCCTTTTTCAAAACCAGAATCATAGTGTTGAACAGGTCGGAGTAGTTATTGAGAATCGAGGGTATATTCTTCTTTAGAGTATTCCAAAGTTTAAGAAAAAGACAAGGCATGTAGATATCTAAAAACCAAGCCACCTTCCAATTGAATAACACATTCGTTTTTTTCAATTTTCAAGTCGAGTGTGTAAGAGAGATGATGTTGATATTCGAGCTAAATCTCTAGTAAGTGCTAATTCTAGTGACACCCGAGTAAAAGAAAGGTTACATAAATGGGTCAATACTACTTCCGAATAAGAACGATCCTCATAATAGGATAACAAAGAAAGAATCGAAAGTTTCTTACTTATATCAACAAGATGCATATTTCTTTTCTGTGGCTCGATCATAGGAACCTTGTGATTAAGAGTGTTTTGTTTGGTTTGGAGCAATTCTATTTTGGGTGACCTTCTTAAAACTTTTCGAGTAATGTATGTGAGTGAAGACAACTCGTGCTGGAATGACTTGCATTGGTCTCTCGAGATAGTCTTCACTCTTATAAGCAAATAGTAACTTGAACATGTCGACGAAAATGTCGAAATCATCGAGTACCGAGTCCAAATTATGAATCCTGATTCAAATCCTTATAAGCGAAGAGTGAGTAACCTGACCATGTCGGAGCTATCAAATACCGAATCTAGATTCCGAATCCTAATCTAAAAAAAAATTAATTAAGTTCAATACTAAATCAAATAATTTAAACAATTACACATGTTTTTATTAATTACCCAAACTAATTCTCTCCTTTAAAATTGAGCTAAATTTTAATCTTCTAGGTTTTTTTTTAAAGATGGAAACTAAAACTATAATTAAAATAAAAATAAATGAGTTTCAAATAAAAACAAAATAAAGAAAATTTGAAATCTAATTGTTGGCACGTTTAAAACGTGCGCAGCCAAATAATAAAATAAATGCCTAAATTGCCCATGCCCACCTCGGAATGAGTTTATTATTAGAATTAGCAACTTTTTTTAAAACAGGGCAGATCTCATATTTTAATTCAATTTTTTTAAATTGTAATAAAATAAAACTACTGTATTTTCCTTTATATAATTAAAGTATATTTTATTTTTTAAAAATTAAGAACCTAATAATTGAAATTGGTAGCTATTTATTTGCCTCAAGCTGCATAAATTCATTGAAAGAAAAAAATGTTTAAATTTCAAAAACATTTTTAAAATTACATTACAATAATTTAATCAAATTTCAAAGACAAAAATCAATTTTTTTAAAATTAAAAAATTCATCAATATTTAAATAAGAAAAGCAAGAGTGCAACCGCCTTCACGGCGGTTCTTTTCCTTCTCTATTACCGGATCACCGCCGCATTCCGTCGCAACGACGTCGTCTCTCCCCTACTTTGGGCTCTCTGCACCATCGCAGAACTCATCTTCACCTTCGTTTGGGTCCTAACCCAGTCGTTCCGATGGCGGCCGGTATCCCGCTCCGTCGCGCCAGAAAATCTCCCCGGCGACGAGGAGCTACCAGGTGTCGACGTGTTCATCCCCACAGCGGATCCGGCGAAAGAGCCGACAGTGGAGGTGATGAACACCGTGTTGTCGTCTCTGGCTCTGGAGTATCCAGCGGAGAAGGTGGGCGTCTACCTGTCGGACGCCGGCGGACGCTGTATGCATTAAAAGAAACTTTTCTACAATATCAGAAAGAATGATATCTATGACAACCAATCCCGGTCTGGTTTCAAGGTCATGAACTCCTCCACGACCCGTTCGCTTTTACATGGATGTTCTTGCAGGCTACCTGTTTGTTAAAATGCCATGTTTCTGGGTTTTGTTTTCTAGACCAAGTGGCGTGGAATGGATGGGGTAAGAGGGCCGGTGTTGTCCGGAACTGGATATCTCTTGAGGAGGAAGGCGTTGTTTTGGAATCCTAATCAGGAAGGTAAATGAAATTCGTCTGTTTTGATTTCAAACTTGGTTCCTCTGTTTCTTATGAATCCCAGAGAGGTTTGATTCAGAGCCACAGAAAGCTCTTGGTCGATCCCAAAAGTTCATTGACTCGTTGAATGCAAAAAAGGAGTATCAGTGCGTATCTGCTGCAATGCAGAGGATGGAGTTGTGTTTACCTGTACTCAAAGCGGGCATGCTTCCTGGGTTGCAGCCCAGTCGACATGAAAGACGCCATGGTTCAGATGCTAAAAATGGAGCTCAGAGTTGTTCCAAGTTGCTTTATCTAAGTATAGTCCTCTCACATACGGTGTCTCAAGGATGTCAATTCTCCAAAGCATGGCCTACGCCTACTTCACATTCTCCTCCCTGCCTTCAGTTGCTTTCGTCTTGTATGGGGTGGTTCCTCAATGGGGCTTCCTGAAAGGCATCCCCTTGTTCTCCCCACAATTTATTAATAATTCATTAAAACTAATAGTCAATTATAAATTTACTATTTTCTAAAAGAATATTACACTAAAAAAAAATTAGCTTCAGTAATTTCATATGGACACAAACTAATCCACAAATAAACACACATATATATGAGAATGACTACATTTTTAAGCTGAAATACTTTTGGTTGGTAACTACTGATAGATGCATCAAATTTTAGTGAGATAACAGAGAGCGTTCTGCAATTTTCTCAAGTAGTGATGCTTTTCCCGAGTTAAGCCTAACATTTCTAAACCATTCAATCAACAGGGAGTTCATGCCATAGACTCGTGAAAATACCTTCTATTCTTGTGATGCATTCATTTCGGTGTAGATGAGGATCGGTGTTCCAGAAATTTCCATGAAGATCCTGAAGCATTTGGCAAAGCCGTTCCGCCCTCCAAAATTTGTTTGATCCATTTAATCCTGTTTATCAGCTCTTCCATGTCCAAAATTGCATCTTCTAATGAACCATGGTGCATGGAATTTAAACTAACATCGGGTACCATCTTCTTTACAGACTGACCATCACTATATCCATCTGCATCAGTTTTTGTTCCTCGAGTTTCTGTTGTCGTGCTTCGTTCTCGAGTAGGTGAACTCGAGTCATTGTCCGATGTACTTTTTTTCTTGGCTACTGTATTCACACGGTTCGAATCGGAACTTAATTCTGGTGTGTGTTCGTGTTTCCCCTTCGATGCCGTGTTGCTGTACATTTGCTTGGACTTTCTGGCTGGTGCAGGAGTAGGTCGCGTGGAACTAGCCTGTAAATCTAACGATGCATTTGAGTTTCCAGCTGCGGCTTCACTGTCATTTCCTTGACTCACGTTCTGGGGTCTCGAGGCTGTCGTGCATCACCAAGAAACCATACTGAATCAATCCCAAAACATATATAAATAAAATAAATAGCTTATTATTCTTGTAAGAAGATCTTTCTAATGTACAAACAAGTAGCCATTAACTGTAAAATATAATGATTCATACATTCTTAGAAGTGATTAGTGTTATTATTGCGGCTCTTACCTACACTTCCATTGTTCAGCACCCGAGCACATTGAGCACTTCCATTCACCTATAACCACAAAGGAATTACAAAGACCTTAGTACTAAGCGAACGACAACAAAAAAGACTGAAGTATCTGAATCATCCAACCAAGCTTTCTTTTATCAAGTTTTCAACCCGAAGTTTTGAAGACAAGCCCTTGAGATGGAAAAAAAATCCAATTCTCACGCACAAAAGCCCCAATTTCTAACTAACGAGACCAATATTGAATAGAACGGTTGAAAGAATGACACCTTCATATCAGGGACCGTCCAACCAGATCCCGGAGACCAGTCTAAGGATGGCCGCAAATCCTTGGAGGAGGCATGATAAGCCGATCCTTCACCAAATGGAGGGGGAAGCAGCTCAACCTTGAAAAAACAGGATAATACAAAAGAAAAATAATCAATCCCTTGAAAATTGCCTTCAAACTAATGAATAAAGTTACACACGATAATTAGACAGTGGAGACAAATCAAACAGTTGGTCTGACTTGTTATATCTGACAGGGTAGCTAACATATTTCTCTTCAGAAAATTGGGCAATAAATATTTTTGGGGAAAAGGCATCCTTAGTCACAAATAAAAGCCGAGCATTTGGTTAGTCGTTGCACTATCCACTCTATCATCCATCATGATTAAGTTAATAAGAAATAAGTAAGAAGTAACCAATGAACACAGTTGAAAATCTAAGGTAGTAGGTAAATAAGTACCTTGACCTCCTCATCTCCCAATATTGCAATTATTTTGCAAGACCAATAACAGTTATCCTTCCACCAATCAACTAAATCCCCCACCTTCCAGACATCATTCACAACAACAGTCACCTCTAGCTGAGAGTTGGTACTATCAGATAATTGTTTTTCACGATATACTTGTGGAAACTGAGGACGCACCATCAACTGCCCTTTTGGCCCAGTTGATGGGATACCAAAGGCTGCAGGTGGTTTTTGAAACGGCTTTGTCCATACTACTTCTGAAATCAGAGACAAGTTCAAACCGTGAATATAGTATTGTCCCAGAAACTGAATCCGATATGTTTCATGACTACATACTAAATATTTATTCTACAAATAATTTCGGCCACAAGCATCAATTAACGAAAGCCTTCAGGCTCACCCAAAAGAAAATGGGTTTGAAATCAACTTCAACCTACTGCTGGTAAATATTCCACAAGTTTTTTACTACCAAGTACTGAACAGAAGCCAACCACTGTAAAACTATACGACAAAAATGCAAATGGAATTCTCAAAGAAGTTCACAATTAATTCAAATTGTTAGTCTAAGAATGGGCAGTCTCCTCTTCAAACTACTTTATAATGGTTCTCTACAAAGATATATCTCATTCTTCCAATTTTCAAAACAAGTAGTCAAATCAGCTAATTGTGATCACAACGTTTGGAGATCAAAAGATGGCTAGACTATAAAAGAAAGTATTTTCCACGCTGATTTGGAAAACTAGTTATACATTTGTGATCAAACACTAAGGATCCTTCGTAATGAAAAGCATAGTCAAAGTAATGGAATTTTTCATCGCAATATCATTCACTTGATGTCATAATAAAATCAATGAATAACAGTAGTCATATTCCATGAAAACTCTTGAAGGCTTCGACCAAGAAAGGGACAAGCTAGTACAAAGAATAAAGATAAGTACGTACCTTCATCAGGAAAGTCAACAAATTCCAATTCATACGATAGACTCCCCATTCTCCAGGCAATGTCCTTTATCTGGTTGAAAATGTACAAACAATTAAGAAAAGTATTGTATTCAGTACCTGATAACAGAAACTGGCCAAAAGATATGTGTTTTTTAATCCAAGAAGAATTTCTAGAAACAAAGTTCAGATAAATCGCTTGTAACCCATTCTCATGTTTTTATCTGTCTCATAATACCATGAAAATAGGACTTTAGAACTAAACTACGCTGTAATGTGACATGAAGAAAAATTGCTTGATAGAGAATTAATACTTGGGGAAGTGGAAGTGGGGTATAAATTTTAAATGAATTTATATGGCACTTATGCCTATGGAGAGACTAAGCCTCAGAATTCCTGGTCAGCATCCCCTCTTTCTAAACTTGATTCACGGGGGGCATATGTATTCTTTTTTATTTCTTGTTTTAGAGTCTATCAGAAATGTTCTAACCTTTCTACACTTGCTTGATATTAAAAACAAGGGACCAAGCAAAAGATCCAATAGTATTGAAAAATTGGATAACTAATCTTGATGCATCTCAAGTAGGTGATCCAAGGAGGTTTAAACCCATGACCTAGAGGTTCAATCCATCAGTATTTTCAATGAAAATGCTTAAGCCTGAAAAGGCAATAAGCCTCGGGGAAACAGTGTTCATTTTATTATGATAAATCACAAAACTCACACTCATTTATTTAAAAAAATGCTGATAATAAATACTGGAGTTGATGGAAATAGAATGTAGGTCTCAGCATCTTTACCTATTTATCCCATATAACAGAGTAAGTCCTATAAACCAATTAACTACTGAAAGCAGACATATCTAACTTAGGTTAGAGGAATGTTCGCTCTTGTTGCTGGTATAATCCTTTAGGGACTCTAGGGCTTGAGTCTATATTATAAATGATATAATAAGGCCTCTAAAGTGATAAAATCCATGAACTTCTCAGTAATCCAGAACATGAATTCCTACACATACTATATACTCCACCAATGAACCTTCTATTATCCTTCTTTAACTATCTTATCTTTCACCAGAACCACAATCTTCGTATTAATTTTGTTACTACTGAAACTCCCAAATGAAAGCAGATCTTCTTCAATGATTGTCCTTAGATTGACAAATTAAGATTGTAAATGTTAAAAATATTTGAAAAAAAATGGATAAAATTAGATCATAAGGGTAAATCAGATACATATGATTCATACCTTACATCGGAACCAAGCACCACGATAACCAATGAGAAAGCAACGTGATTCTACCAGTTGCCCAATTTCAAAAGGTAACTTGCTTGCCATATCATTTCACAATCTAGCATGCACCTGTTGGAAAGAACTTCCATATTGAAAAACTAGAATACATAGTTCGAGCCAAATATATAACATTAGCAGCATAACTTTCATCTAGTTCATCATTTGCATTCATAATATCTGGGGAGAAGGGAAGCCATGGCCATGTGAAGCCAGCGCTTCAATAATCTACATACAAAAATTGCACTAGCTTACAAGTATTAAGCAGCTCTTTGTTTGTACATACAAGCATTAACTATCTCTGTTTGTACTTGTTTACACATATTATAGCTGGTAATCGCATAAACCTACAAGATTCCCATTAAATGTAAATAGGTCGTCACCCTTCTTTGAACCTTTACCTTCATGACATTTTCTTTTCTTTCTTATGGATAAGAAACAAAGCATATTGATTACAAAAGAAAAACTCTCCACTTGGCTGCAGCTAAGGGGAGAGCATAATTATAGAAATCTTTGGTTAGCTTATAAACAACCAATTAGGAAAATCGGTTCACATCCAATACCAAGTATCTAAGTTATTCTATCTAGATCTTGGCGATGTTTCTTTTATCTGCTAGAGCGCGGCGTGAGGAAAAAAAAAACTATCACAACATGTGAAGAATTAAGTAAGGCAAGCCTGAGAGAGAGATAAACAGTTTTCCCAAATGTTTCTTTATTTTGTGAAACATTTCAAGAAACGGATAGGCAGTGTTTCCCATTATCATAGGAGAGTACTCATCAACTTCTAGAGAATACCTCCTCAACGAACAGGATACTCGAAAAAAGTTACCTCGCAAATATGTTTCTAAAGACTCTCACACTCTCTACCACAAACAATTCAAAGCCTACTGCAAATAAAGACAGTACAAAACCTTGAGCTCCCCATTTCCCCAACCGTCACGTTCAAAAACCATTGCAGCAAACTGAAAATCGGTCATCCACTTGGTAAAAGCATCATAGTAACATAAAGAAGACAAAAAAAAAAAAAAAAAAAAAAAAGAAGGAAAAAAAAGCATTACAGTTATGAGCGTAGCCTGAGCTTGCTCGGCGACAATTCTTCAAATGCCAAAACCTAGGGCTGCTAGAGGTACAGTCTAGTTTATCGCCATTCCCGCCGGTAAACAGCCTGAACATTCATTTTCTCGATTAGCCAAAACAAGTTTCCTACTCTTGCTATCTCCCTAGTTGCTCTCCGACATTCAGTAACGAACGCAAAGCTAAACTGCAATATAAGGCATCTTGTGAAGGTGAAAAAAAAATGGGTGAGCTCGTATTCAAACGGTACCTGCCTGCGCGCTAATTCCTGCAAATGTAACGTCTTCTTCTCCGCCTTTCCAGTGGTGAGACAAGTGCCGACCGAACCGCGTCTACTGGATTTTCCAATTTTGTTTCGCTTTACATTTTCGTCTCTAATGCCCGTTGGATTTATTATTATTATTATTATTGTTATTTTAGGTCAAATTACAAATCTAATTTTGCACCAAATTTAAATTTGATATACGGTGGTTATATTGACCTAAAATTACTCCGTTTTTAATTTCAATTTTTTCTTTTATCTCACGGACCCCAACAAATCACCATGATTCCCACATTTTTCTCCAATTAAAACAAGTTACCATAATTCATCTCTACCTACGAAAGCAACATCTTTTTACAAATTTTTCAAGCATAAATTCAACATTATTTGATGATGAACGTATCTGAGTCGATGTTTGTTGGATAAAAGTACCGTATCAGCTAATTTAGAGAATAATCATGAATTTATAATAAATGAATACTCTTAGTATGAGACTTTTTGGAGAAGCCCCATAACAAAGCCACGAGAGGTTATACTCAAAATGGACAATATCATATCATTGTGTAGAGTCGTGTTCATCTAACATGGTATCAGAGTCCTAAATTTAGCCATGTTAATAGAATTCTCAAATATGGAACAAAAAATTCCAAGAGAAAAGGGATCGAAGTAGATAATACCATACCAATGTAGATAGTCGTGTTTATTTAACAACAACCAATCTACTTTAATCACTTTTTTTACTTAAATTTTATAATTATATAAATTTTTCGCATTTTTAACATTGACATATTTTGGTTATAATTACGTGTTGTCCGTCTCTAAAAAAAAATAATAAATCCTCTCGTTTATAAATAAATAAATAAATAATTATTGATGGTTGATGTCTAAGCCAAGTATATCTCAATTCATATTCATAATTTAAGAGGGGGAAAAAAAAGTTGGTACCTAATGGGATAATTAAAATAATTAAGAACACGTTAAAAAAAACAAAATGATTAAAATATCTTAAACAGCCCTTTAAAAAATTTAAAAATTTAAAAAGAAAGAGAAAAAAAGAACCCACTATTACACCTAAAATTATTCCAAATAATCAGGTACAGTCGAGACCAGTGGCCTTTAATCAAGAGGCTCAGATGTCCGTTGGATTAAAAGAAAAAGAAGGGTTGATGAAAATTAATCATCAACCCTATTGGTTGAGTCTCTTCCCATCAAAGCTTTAGAGTAGGCCATGAAAAAACGATATACAAAAACAGTGGGCCCGCATGGCCCACATTGCCTTTAATGCCACTCTATTCAACTGCCTCCTTCACCCAATCATAATAATAACAATAAAAAAATCCCTTTCTATTCTTTTCTTAATCTTATTTTAGTCTTCAAATATTCGAAATTTTGACTTATTAATTATGCCTTAAGATTTATATAAATTAACTCTCCAATTTTGTAATAACATTTTTCTTTTTATTTTATATTATTGATTTTGTATTTATTTGCATGGTTTTTAACATAGGGCCACTAGTTTAGTTAGCTAGTGAACGATTTTTCGCTGCTATCTTCTGCAAAGCAAGTTAGCCGAAAGCAGTATGGATGAATGGTAGTTAATCGAAGCTCTAGTAGGTAGCCACTCCCTTCAGAAAATCGTACATGAGACTTCTCCATTTTTTTTATATATGTTATTAGATTTCAATAAATCGTAAATATTATCTTCAACTAAAAAATTAGACGTTTAATTTTTTTTTATTAAAGGAATTAATATAATTTAATGATTAATGATTAAGATAAAGGCCGAAAATTCAAATCTCAACCAAATAATTTTTTTTTCCTTTTTTTTTTGAAAATGAAGAACAATAATAATTATTATCCAATTATTGCCAACTCACTATTCCATTCAATCATTATATATATCTGATACCTTCTTCCTCTTTTTATTTGGGTGCGGTGGTTGGGTTCTCCTGCTTGCGGTTGAGCCACCGCCGCACTCCGTTCCCCCGCCACCCTCCTCGCCTAATTCTATATGCTTTTCGAATCTCCCAATTCGCTTTTCCAACAAACCCTAGTTTCTTTTTCTTTTTTAATTTAAATTTTATTTTCTGTTTTAAAATATTGGATTCTAAAATGTCATCTCATCTAAGATAAGACATGGGAGTTGGCATCAAATTATATGTTTCCATCGTATGTCTCAATGCTTCCTTTCTTGTTGTCACCTAAACATTATATTATATTATATAATAAAGTTTAATCATCTCAAACTTATTAATTTAGATCATTTTTCTCTTTATAATAAAAATAATTATTGTTATTTATTTATTTAGAGAGGGAAGTAGGAGTGGGGAAATTAATTAATTGGAGGTTGATGAGGCCTTTATCACAAGGGTTAGGAGCAATAATCAATTATTCGGATGTGACACCATTATATTTCTTTACTTTTTTTTTTTTGTTAAGAAATGGATCTCCTCTTTCACATACGTCTTTCGCTCAATTTTGAACTCCCTCTAAATAATTGGTCTCTCGAGCACTTCACCATAGAACCTCTCGTGAGACCTAATATAGCCCTCGAACAGCTTCTTCTATATCGAGACTCAATTTCTTCTCTAAAACTCTCGAACAAAGTACACCATTTATTCGCCACTTGAGTCACTTTTGACTATACCTTCGAGGCTAGCAACTTATTTGTTTGACTCTTGAGAATTTTATTGATATGACTAAGTTAAGAGCATGACTCTAATACTATGTTATAAATCATAAACCTTTGCAATAATATGATATTGTTCCCTTTTAACATTAACTCTCTCCTGACTTAGATGTATTTTTACTTATAAAATTTTTGCTCAAATAATATATATAATTTAACTAGGAATTATTATATTATCAAAAAAAAAAAAATAGTAAAGGAGTTATTATCTAATATATTATATATTTTTTTAAAGTAGAGAAAATTTTTAAATAAAAAAAATAATAAAAGTTTACATCAGGCACCGTCATGTGTCTTCAACGAGACAAGGAAAAGACTAGGGGGAACATTTATGTTACCTACTGACCCTCCTATTTTAATTTCAAAATAGTCCTCATTGTAGGAAGTAATAAAATAAAATTATTACCTTAAAGAATTTTACCAGACAGTAAAAAAACAAAAAATGAAATAAAAAACCTCAAGGTTTAACCTACCACTGCATCGAAAAAATAATCTTAAAGTTTAATTTTACCCAATTGAACCGTAACTTGATTAAGTTTGAACATTTTTATAGTTAAATTATTTATATTAAAATTGGAGTTATTTATTGACTATACAAAAAATAATATTAATGTCATAAGATTTAAGAATTAAATCAATCAATTTTCTTAAAGTTTGATAACTCCGCGCTTGAATATTTTGAAATGTTAAATTTTAAATTTAAAAATTTAAAAAGATTAAAAAAGGTGCACTTCATTTATTAATTTTCATCCCTCTCAAACAAATAAATTCAAAAACGATTTTTTAAAAAAGGGAAAAAGAATAATAATGCCGCCGTTAAAACACGAGAGTCGGCACCGACGCGGCTTAAGTTTATATAAACAAGGAACAGAAACAGGACGCACTCCGACACCGTTCTCGGAAGCGCGAATTCACTCTGATGCCTTGATACAATCCCAAGCAATCCACAGGTAGCGTTGCGATTCATCTTCTTCTTCTACATTTTGAAGAATGTTTCTTGGAATCGATGTAGTTGTTAGATCTGGTTGCTATCTCTCGATCCACTGATTTTTTTTTTGTCACTACTTATAGATGTCATATTGATTTCTGGTTGCTACATTTTCTTGCTGTTGTTTTCTAATCTCTTGGATGAATTTTGAAAATGATTAGCTGATACTGGATACATGTATGATTTCCTGATGTTTGAGAGGTTGTGTTTTTTGTTGCGTTTAATCTGTTGATAATTTGTTAATCGATCACCATTATCTCCTTTTACAGTTCATTTACAGTTAATGTTTTCGCTTTAGAAAGTTATGTCTGCGAGTATGGTGTTGGTTTGATAATTTTAATTAAGGTAATAACCGCCGCCTATATTGAGCATTTCGCGCGCGCGCGCGTATTTATGGCATGGTAAGATTTGGTTAATTGTAGTTCTTATAGAAAATTTTCGTTGTGGCTTGCAATCATTTAGTTTCATTTTTATACAAATGGCAAATCGCTGTGTGGCTGCGGCAACTGTTTCTAGTTCTCTTCCTTCTCTCTCAAAATATCGTTATCAATATTAACAGCCTCGGATTTTCTTATGTATGTGGTATGTGCATTCATGTATTTGATTCTATTGCAGAGTTGGTTTGTGTGCCAATTGTGACCCATTGACGTCATTATCACGGTTTTCATCATTGTAGTATTATGGAGATGGAAGGTACAGATGTTTGTATGGACAAAGAGCCAGATCGTGTCATAACATATTCCTCTGGAGTAGTTTCCCATGATTCTTCTTGTGAAGATAGCCTCAATCATCAAGATGTTGTGGAGTCGTTTGGCGAAATAAATGGGCATCATGATATCCACAATTCAGAAGAGGGAAGCGAAGCAAAGGAATATGAAGTGAAGGAATGCACAAATGAAAAATCAATCAAGGTTCCTGAACTTCCTCTTACAGAAAAATCTGACCAGCAGCAAAGTGTGATCAGCTTGAATAATGAGAAAGAGAGACTGGACGAGAAGGTGGTACTAGAAGGAAAGAATGCTCATCAATCTATGTTAACTGTGAACTCATTGAAATCTTCTGCTGGAAATGCTCGAACAAGACACACTGTTCCACAGCCATTTGCCTTGGCAACAGAAAGGCGTGCTTCATCTGGTACTCGACCTCCCAATGCTATCGTGGCTGAAAAATCTATCAAACACAGTGTTCAGCCTGCAAAGACCAAATCCAATCAGGTACGTTCTAATGGAATATTACTTCTATTGGTAATTCAACTCGGTTCCATGGATGTGTATAATTCAAACCCTGTGGTGGTAGACCTACATGCTTAATCCACTGCTTTCACTTTAAGAGAGGTTTATGTTTATTAATTATTATCCTGAAACGTTTTCTTGAATCGGAAAAATTAACGTGTACAGCTTCGTGGCTTAGGAAAAAACTGGTTTTACTTGTATATGGCTCAATGGATTTGCTTTTACTTCCTGCAGCCTGCATCACCTAGAGCGCTGAGGAAGCCACTGCAACCTAATAACAAGAAGCATGCTGATGAGGAAGATTCCTGCTCGGTGGTTTCCATGTATCTTTCTTAACTCTATGTTTTATTTACTACTGGGTTTAACCTTTCCCATTTGCTCTAAAATTGATTTTTGCCTATCGACTGGTAGCAGTGCCGCAGCATCTCGGGCTATTAAGACAAGAACTACTGTTGCTTCAGCTCCTACATTTAGATGCACAAAGCGTGCCGAGAAAAGGAAGGAGGTATTGCCACCCACGCCATCTTATCCTATCCAGTTTCTTTGGATACTATTTTTTTCTATGATAGTCTATATCTTACTACATTTTTTTCATATATGTAGTTTAACTCGAAATTGGAGGAAAAACTTCAAGCTCTGGTGGCTGAGAAGACCGAGTGTGAGACAAGGTCCAAGGTAAAATATGTTCTCTCTGGTGGAGGATATTTGTTGCTTCCCTTTTAGCTGCTTCCTGAGGGTAATTCTAAAGTTATTGTCTTCTTTTTTTTCCATCATCAACCTTCCAAATTTTGAAGGAAGAGACTGAGGCCGCTATCAAACAACTAAGAAAGAGTTTGTTATTCAAAGCAAATCCAATGCCAAGCTTCTACCACGATGGGCCTCCTCCCAAGGTTGAGCTGAAAAAGGTACTTATTACGAATCTTTTGTGGCCCTACATTATCTTGTCAAACAGAGAGCATATTGTTGGGAATATATGAATTCATTATCTTCTTGAATTATCATTAATAATACTCTGTTTGAGTGCCAGCTCCCACCAACTCGTGCGAAGTCACCTAAACTTGGCAGACGTAAGAGTTGCAATGATGCAGTTCATTCATCCTATGGAGACAAGATAAAAGTCAGTTGCGGCAAGGGAAATGGTCGTCATACAGACAGCTACAACAGAGATATCATCGCACTGGATGTCATCGAGAATCGAAGCAATGTCATTTGCTTTGTAGAGAACAATCTGAAGCAAGAAGGAGCTTTTCACGAGGTGATTCCTATTGATGTAAATGGTTCAAAGAATATGAATATTTCTGTCCAATCTTGAGTTTGTGACCAACTTCCAACTCGCTTCTATCATGCCTACTACGTCTCGCATTTTCAAGAGTTCATTGCAGTGGTTTATGTAATTTATGAAATGTAAATTTCTGTAATTTATATCGTTTGTTTATGCGGAAGCATTTTACTTCCGGACAAAATACTTATCTTATAATGGCCCTCCCACTGAAAGAAAAAAAGGAAAACAGAGAGAAAGAGATCTACTAAGATGTGGTTCGAGCTATTGTTTCCTTTGTTACTTTTGTACGTAAATTATAGATTGACCATTCTTGTTTTGTAGACTTCAATGTGAAATTAAAATGGATGTTCTTCCAGTGATTTATTGCTTTTACGCGACATGATTCCATTGTTTCTGAATCTAATTATGCTTTCTATCATACAAGAAAGGATTCTTGCTCATCAGTTATTCACATGCATGGACGATGAGGCAAAACAAGGTACGTCGCCTAGAAGTCCCAATTTACTGTCTGGAAAATATTTTTGCTTGAACTAGTTACGATAGAAGAACTAAATGGCTACGAGAAAACGTAAGAAATTTAGGTGTTGGAGCCTCGAATGCCATGTATTTGAAATAGTCTAGGCGGTTTTTTTCAAGGCGTTTTAGATCACGAGTTGGGTACGCTATGTTTGTTTAATACAAGATTACGAAGTCGAACTTATTATTATCGGTACATAGCGTATTTAACATGATTTTCCTCTTTTTTTTTTGTTTTTTCTTTGAATTATTCTTGACAGGGAACACAGACAAATGCAAATAGGAAATAAGCTTGGGAAGTAATTTCACTCGAGACACCAGTGGCCTCATGGATCTTCTTCTATTATCTCAACTCCAAACTGGCTCTTACGACACAGTCAGCTATGAGTTGCTTGGATCCCTTTTCTAAGGTAAAGAGAATCCTTTTATCCTTGCTTGTTTCTGTAACAAATACTATGTTTAATATCTTGGATAACCATCAAGATCTCAGAATCCCTCGAAAAATTTCTTTTTGTAAGTTTGAAGACTGGTATAGAGTCCCTTTTCACTAGCACAGGGCTCACACCAATCTGAAATGCGAATTCAATACCTTACAGCTAAAGCTTCTATAGGTTGCCAAGAGAAAAATACGCAGCTCCCATGACACCCTTTTAGAATCTAAAAAAATTGCTACAACTCCAAGTTAAGCTTTTCCAGTTGGATTTAAGGCTGCGTATGTGTTTGATTTAGAAACTTCAGGACTAGGTCCTTCCTGCCACCTTGACGGTTTGAATTGTAAGGTTCCAAATTGACATTGGGTCCGTTCTAGTGATCTATACTGTATACCTTTTTACAAATCATTAACCTACGAACTTACATGAAATCATGTTTTTATAGCCCATTCCTTTACGTAATTCAGACCCAAATTTCTAACCATTAGTTTCATAAAACTAAACTTATTGAATTCAAACTTCCCTTTAAATTTATCAGCTCCCTTGTAAATATTCTCTTCCTTGACTTTTAGGCCGAGCTTTCTTGTTCTTTCAAATGTTTGTGTATGTGAGATCCCACGTCGGTTGGAGAGAAGACTAAAACATTTTTTATAAGAGTCTGAAAACCTCAAAAAACCTTGAGGGAAAGCTCAAAGAAGATAGTATCTGCTGGCCGTGGGTCTAGGCTATTACAGTGTATTTGATATATTACTCGATTTCCTCCCAAAGAAATATTCTTCCTCGGGTCTTGAGTATTTAGCTCCCAAAAGTGTGTATTATCTTTATTCCATCTATCATATTGCCATTGAAATCTTTGCCATACCAAATTCCTCAACAATGGAAAATCTTCGCTCGTTTCGTATGCCCCGACATGAGAAACTTGCAATATGATGTTCAAAATGAGAAAATCTAAGGTCTTCAACGGCAGCGACGGATCAAGCTCACAGGCCTGAGTTTATTTTAAATACTTACTAAATATCGTCAAATTTACAGGTCTATTTCCTTCGCTTGTAGTGATCTTTTTTTCGTTAAGAGTAGTCTTTTCACGTAAAATCCATTTGTTAGTTTGTTAATTTTCTTCGTTTCATTACATTTTATCTAGCTTTTATTTACTTATTTGGTTCATAAATCAAATTACTGAACAATCTGTTTGCATAATTACAGCTATCTACAAGTTAGCCGACCCTAGGTAGCTTGTTGTTGAACTAACCCAATTTCAACAAACACGGTCCAACTATTTTTGTTGTTTCTGTTTTGATCGTCTTTATAGCTTATAGTTGAAAAGTTAGATTTGGTAGATGTGGAAAAAGCACATCCTTTGTAGTACACAACTGACCTTCAAATCTGTGAGTTTACACGCATACACATATATATAAGCCCATATGAAGAATCATTGCATTCTCTCATCTTAGCTCTCCAGAATTGTTGAGGAGAATGCAGTCTGGTCCGAGAGCATCGTTTGAATAGATTGATCTCGGACCAGGCTTCATTCTCGCCAGCTCTTCGATTAGCTCAGCATGCTGTATTACCTAGTTCATATACAACAAGTAAGTTCTCATCTATTTCTCAAGTGCTTTTGTTTGTTTTTCTTTTTATTTGTTGGAATTATGCACCTCCACTGGGTCTGGAAAGATGCAAGTCGAAGAAGGCAAAGCCGTACATGGGAGATTAGACCAGGTACATTACTTCGATGATAATTTTATTTTTTTCTTTAATTTCGTTGTAATTTATATTTTTAAAAATAGATTAGACACAGAAAAAGATCTTTTCATTGGAAAAGAACATTACTTTTGAAAGAAAAAAAAAAAAAAGAGAAGAAAAGAAAAGAAAAGTAGTTTAATAATTCAGCTGGTTTAATAATAGGGCAGACGCTATTATTTAATTTTGGATTAATATTTATTTATTTTGGAAGAATAATTTGTAATTTAGAGGTGGGGGGTGTACATGCTTATTCCTATTTTCTTGATTTCGCAATAAAATTTTGATTTTTGTAGTCATTAATAAATGGGATAATGATGTTGTCGGGATCATTTTCCAACAGCTCTTATCACTTGCCGACTCCTTTTTCTTTCTTCATTCTCAATTATTTGAAAAAATAGGATGACAGGTGATTAGACGATAGGTACCAAAATACGACCCAAATTGGAAAAAAAAGAAAAAGAAAAAGAAAAAAAGGAACAGATAGAGAAATTTTAATGCAAAATTAGATTACGTAACATTACGGGGAGAGTTCACTTATGGTTTATTTGAATTAATTAGCAGAAAAAAAAAATCAAATAATATTCTTGATTTTAAAAAATATTCTAAAATAAGTTTAAAGAAGGCTCTTTTTAGTAAAAATGTTTTTACTTTTTTAACCATTCAAAAAAATTTATATTTCATATTCTTGAACATTTAATTTTTTTTAAAAAAAAATACATAAACCAAAGGAGGGCGAGCTTACTTGTATGGTAGTATGTAGTTGGTGGCTCAGAAGACTAGCAACAACTCATGGCTAAGGAGGGCGAACGACAAGAAGTGGTAGACGTTTTCAACTATCTACAATTCAAGAGAACGAGAGACGGTTATGGCAAAGTAAGGCGAGTGACAAAAGTTACAGCGGAAAGGGATGAAGAACAAAGGATACACACGCGAGAGGAAAAATAAAATAACGATGAAGTAGATTTTGTATTTATTTTCTTAAAATCCTTTCTTTACTTTAAGGTTATTTAAGGTTATGTTAAAGATCGAAGCATAAACATGAACTAGAAATTTTTAAGGTTCAAGATAAACTTTTGGTCTGCCATTATCTCCATAATTTTACCAAAATATATTGATAATTAAAAATACTGGATGTAACTTCACTTAAGGTTTTAGAATTAAGATTTTTTATTGTAACGACTCAAGCCCACCACTAGTCGATATTTTCTACTTTAGCATCATAATTTTAAAATGCTTTAATATTAAAGTTCAGCACAATATCAAGTTTCATTTCACGAACATATTATAATCGACCCTAATATTAAAAATTTGGGAATGAAATTTGGGGGAATGTGAAAAATGATAATAGGTCTCGTGTTATAATTAATATTATTAAAAAAAAAAGTGAATATAGATACCGATCGATGCAAAAGAAATATGTCTAATATTGGGCCTTAAATGGGCTTCACTGTAGGCCCAAGTCAGAAGCCCGAATGATCAAAACTGGTTCTTCTCGGCCTAGGGTTTCAGCCATTAGAGTTGCAGTTTCTGACCAATCTATATATATACCGCCGAAAAAGGAAGCCTTGAGACCCTGCAGATTCGGAAGCATTCTCCCGCCGATTAGTTCTGCTTTCATATCTCGGAGAGTTGAAAACCTAAACCATGGTAAATTTTCAACACTTGATTTTCTGTAATTTATCGTCTCTTTCTCTCTCTCTCTCTCTCTTCCAGTTTCGTTAATGGCGTTGCTTCGGCCATCTTCAGGCGGATGTAGAAGCCGATGTTGCAGTGGCGGGACAGCCAAAGAAGAGAACGTTCAAGAAGTTCAGCTTCCGCGGCGTCGATTTGGATGCTTTGCTCGACATGTCTACCGATGAGCTCGTCAAGCTCTTCACTGCTCGTGCTCGCAGAAGGTCTCTATTACTGAATATGTGATGGATTTATTTTGAGTTAATACGACTTTTTTTTTTAATCTTAATTTTCTATTGGATGATTTTTGGGATAGGTTTCGAAGGGGTTTGACTAGGAAGCCAATGGCCCTTATCAAGAAGCTCCGCAAAGCGGTAACTATCTTTTAGATCCTTTTCTTAACTCTAAGACAATTCATTGGAGGGCTCACTTTACATTATTTGTTATTGTTTCCTTGAATGCACTGGCTGTATGCAAGTGGGTATAATTGTTGATGGACTCGTTACTGTATTGTTGTGCATCTGAGATGTAATTCGAGTGATTTCTAGGGGAAGCATCTTAATCATGCTGCCCAGTTTTTCTCCAAGTTTCCTGATGAGCAGATACGTGCAAATTAAATATATGTAGTTACACATGATATCTTTAATTTATGTTCCATGGATCCTTTTCTAGGCTGGTATTAACTTCTATACTCCATCTTGACCTGCAATTTACTTAAATGAACAGTAGTAAAACAGAACACTCGCCAAGATTTTCATTAGCATAATCTTTCGCCCTGAATCATAGGATGGAGAATTGTGCTCTTTTGGTCCTTTGTTACACCCTTCAAAGATTTTGGAGAAACTAGTCTGTCGTGATATTGCTGACAGGTTATTATGATGGGAAATTGGAATCAGTTTTGACACGAGTAAATGAACTCTCTTTAATTTGTTAGAAACCACGAATCTCCGCAATGGTATGATATTGTCCACTTTGAGCATAAGCTCTCATGGCTTTGTCTTTTGGTTTACCAAAAGCCCTCATACCAATGGAGATGTATTCATTACTTGTAAACCCATGATCATCCCCTTAATTCCATTGTGGGACTCCCTCCTAACAATTCTCAACAATACTCCCCTTGAACAAAGTACACCATAAAGCCTCTCCTGAGGCCTATGTAGTCCTTGAACAACTTTCCTTTAATCGAGGCTTGACTCCTTTCTCAGGAGATCTTGAACAAAGTACACCCTTTGTTCGATACTCGAGTCACTTTTGACTACACCTTCGAGACTAGAAACTCCTTTGTTTTGACACTTGAGGACTCTTTTGACATGGCTAAGTTAGTTCAAGGACATGACTCTAATAGTATGTTAGAAACCATGGACCTCCACGATAGTATGATATAGTCCACTTTAAGCATAAGCTCTCATGGCTTTCCCCATAAGGCCTCATACCAATAGAGATCTGTATTCATTACTTGTAAACCCATGATCATCCCCTTGATTAGCTATTGGGCTCCCACCCAACCATCCTCAACATTTTATTTCTTCTGAACTTTTGTAGGCTTCATTATTAATTTAGGTATAACTTTAAAGCTAACATCTCCCACTACTGCTTCTTGCTATGACTTAACCTTCTTTTTGCCCTTGATTTATCATATCCTAAAGTGGGATCATACCCAATGGTAGCTTTGTAAATTTTATTTATCATGAATCTCCGAAGCTCTAATTATACCGTTGTGTTAGTTTTTTAATATCCTTGTTTTTCCTTTTGGCTTTCCCATAACCACCAATGGGAAGTTACGTTCATGGCCCATCGGTAGATTTGGAAGTCAATGTGTCTTGAGTCTTTGCAATTCATCATTATACTTCTGAGTCCTAACAGGATGGGATCATACAGCAATGGTAGATTTGAAAGTAATTTTCCTTGAGGCTCTGAATTTCATCATTATACTTGGGAGCTTGGTACACTTGAAAATATATGTACAATGAATCTCTGAAATTCATCATGTTTGTGCCCTTGTCTCCCCACCTGTATCTCTTTCCTTCAACCATAAGCAGAAGAATAGGTTTCTTATTTTTTTTTTTCTCTCGTCTCATTCATTTTCTTCGCTGCCTTGAATAGAAAAGGGAAGCACCTCCTGGTGAGAAGCCAGAGCCTGTACGAACTCACCTCCGTAATATGATCATCGTCCCAGAGATGATTGGAAGCATCATTGGTGTTTACAATGGAAAAACCTTCAACCAAGTTGAAATCAAGCCAGAGATGATCGGGCATTACCTAGCAGAGTTTTCGATTTCATACAAGCCTGTTAAGCACGGTAGACCCGGTATTGGTGCCACCCACTCTTCAAGGTTCATTCCTCTAAAGTGAAATCTGAGTTCATTTCTTGCTTCCTTAGTTTTGTTATATTTCTACAAGGTTGTTGATCAGATTTTGTTCTTAGTTTTTGCCCATTTTTCTATGCTTCATATCTGATTAGAACCACCATGGAAGCTGGTTTTATTCTTACTTGTTTCAACTAAATGCAGACTTGTAGACTTGGTTGCTTCATAGTTTTGTTTTTAATTTTTTCAAGTCATGAATCTCATATCCAAGTCTTCTTCAAAGGTACTGAACTTCTATTTTTATTTAAAATTTAAAGCATAAAAGATAAAATTTCATCATCATAAATGTATTTTATAACTTGGTTTTTTTAAAAAATTGTCTGCCCTTATTTTACTTCTCTTTTTATGATGTCATATGACTTATTATACAAACATGATATTAACAATTATTTTTCTTTGAATACAATTCATAAAAAGGTTAAAGAACATTAAAAAATCTGTCTCAATTATACATTAAAATTCTATTATTCCAAGTAAATTTAGAATAACCCATCGTTCTTACCATTTAGATATGAATTCTTAATTATTCATTCCTAACATGATGATATAAAGAACATTTGTAATCATACATTCTATACATAAACACAAATAAAGAACATTTGTAATCATACCTTCTATACATAAACACAGAATATTATAAAGATTAATGAAGTTTACATGTATAAATTATTACTCAAGATATATGAATCTTTCTCAATATGTTCAAAATAGTGTTGAATTGAATTGAATTCAAAATAGTATTGAACTGCATCGAAGAAAAACTTACTAGAAAAACATGAACTAGATTAGATATGAACTATTAGAAATAGTTCTTGTGAAGACAACATCTAAGAAGAGGCTCATAGTTGACTATTGTGTTGTGTGCACGTGACCAAAGAAGAGGTGACATCGACTGGGGTAGTGGGAGTTGACTGTATATGATCGAAGGACAAAGGTGATCTAGAAGAACATGATAATCGAAGTATTTATCAAGGGAGACCACTACTTTGACAAATTAAGAAGGGGATAAATATGAGTGGTAATTACATTTCATGATTAAAAATACAACTCATATCGAAAATAAATAGCTTGTTCGAGAAAGGCTGCATGACATCAAATATCCTGTCAACCAAAAAGGACAAAAACAATGATACATTGCGACGTTATTTATTTCCTAGTTTGTACACGTTTTTGTCATTATAATTTATTGTTTTTTTAGAAAGGTATTTCACTTGGTTTAATTTTGTCTTTTTGTCTTTTATTTTTTTTATTTTCTTATAGCAGCTCTAATTCTAACCTTTTAATAATTTAAATTCTCTCTAAAATATTGCAGCTTGACTAATACTGAGTGCCGAAAGAATAATTTATATTTTCTTTTTTTTTGGAAAATGACTCTTTATTAAATATCATCTAAAACGTGTTAAACATGGTAAATTCAAATTAAAACATAAAATTAGAAATTCAAGTCAACCACAAAATTATATATTTATTTATTTACAACAAGACACGCCAAAGTAATATATATATTTTAAAAAAAGAAATTTCCAACGTGTCTATTAAGACTTCAAATTGTGGACCCATCTTTTACGTCATGGGAACCTTCCTCGCATTTGCCTTTGAAGTTTCCTCTCTGCTTCGCTTAGTGTCATTTGCAACGCTCTTTCCACTTCGGCAGCTCTCATCTGCCCATCAAACCAACCAAACAACCACCATTTCTTCCAAATCCATAAATTATTACACGAACTCGACACAATACGTTTGACTTTAACACTTAAACGCGTCCTAAAGATTGAGGTATTTTAAGAAAATTGTATGGTATTCTACCGAGTGACTTGTAATTTCTTTTCGATTGATGTTAATAGAGTTATGTTACCTATTTGACACAAATTTAAAAGGGTCGGGTGATCTTACGTGAGAATCAATGGCGATGTGCGTCGAAAACCGAGAGTCCAAGAAAGTGGCATGAATAGCTTTGGCATTCACTCCAACAGTTTTGAGAAGATTAAGAACACCCAGCATAGAGTTTATCCCAGATGAAGGGTTAGCCACTGCAA